GCACGGGAGGGAGGCGCTAACATTGGAAAGTCCTTGCGCCGCTTCCCGCAGCAGCCGTGGTCCCCGCGTGCAGGTCCCCGTTGCCATCGTTACTGGATATTTTCGCACACGGCGCCTTTGCGCTGGTGGTTTATTATAGCAGCTCGGGAGGGGGGCGGTGGGGAGAGCGAGCGGCTGCTTGGGGAAGTTCACAGCAATTGGGCTGGGCTTTTTTTAATTCCTCTCCCCTTCTCACAGTCTCCTCCCTCCTGTGGCTCCTGGAAAGCTCCTGGATCCCCCCACAGTGCAGTGGGGACCATGAGCCCCCGGAGCCGCTGTCCCGAGGGGCTCGGGGCGCCTGCGTGAGCCTCCGGCCCAGGAGGTGCCCGTGCACGAACACGGGATCTGGAAGCTCCAAACACGGGATCTGGAAGCTTCTCCTGGCGCGCGGGAAAGGCGGGGGGGAACGAGCCTCGTCTCACGTGGATGAGCACGAGCTGGGGCTGGGTGGGGGGGTCGGGATGCACCGTGTGCCGCCCGCGCTTCCCCAGGAACATTAAACTTTAAAGGCGCTCGCCTGGCGCGTGTGCTGGGAAGGGCTGGCAGTGCCATGTGCCCACGGAGCTGCCCGCGTGTCCTGAGCATCCGCTGCGGCGTGTGGGTCCCGGCTCGTGCCTGGCCACTGCTCCTGACTCCCTTCCCTCGGCAGGTCCCAATTAATGGATTCTGACATGGATTATGAGAGGCCAAACGTAGAAACCATCAAGTGCGTTGTGGTCGGGGACAACGCGGTGGGCAAAACGCGGCTCATCTGTGCCCGTGCCTGCAACGCCACCTTGACCCAGTACCAGCTCCTCGCCACCCACGTGCCCACGGTCTGGGCCATCGACCAGTACCGCGTTTGCCAGGAGGTAGGGAATGCTCCAGAGTGGGAATGTCGGGGGCACTGGGCCTGGGAAGAGAATGGGAATGGCTCCCTGAGTGGGAGAGCAACTGGATGTCCTACCTGGCAAAGCTGGACCAGTACGACCAGGTTCGAGAGCGGGGTGGTGTTTCTCTTCCTGCAGGTGCTGGAGCGCTCCCGGGACGTGGTAGACGATGTTAGTGTGTCCCTGCGGCTCTGGGACACCTTTGGAGACCACCACAAGGACCGGCGCTTCGCCTACGGGAGGTAGGAAGAGGCAGAAATGGGGAAAGTGGGGTCGGGCACTGGGGACACTGGGGACAGCCGGGGGCTGGAGCTGGACCTCAGCTCTAGCTTCCATCAGGTCGGACGTCGTGGTCTTGTGCTTCTCCATCGCCAACCCCAACTCCCTGCACCATGTAAAGACCATGTGGTACCCGGAGATCAAGCACTTCTGTCCCCGTGCCCCCGTCATCCTGGTGGGCTGCCAGCTCGACCTGCGCTATGCCGATCTGGAGGCCGTGAACCGGGCCCGGCGGCCCCTCGCCAGGTAGGGACGTGGTGCCGGGGACCAAGAACAGCAGGAGTTACGGTGCCTGCGGTCCCCAGAGGTGCTGATACCTGCCCAGTCCTCCCTTCATCCCGTGCCCTGCAAGAGGGCTCATTGTGGCCGTGCCATGAGGTCTCAGCATTCAGGGGGGTCTTCTCTTTGCAGGCCGATCAAACCCAATGAGATCTTGCCCCCGGAGAAGGGGAGAGAAGTAGCCAAGGAGCTGGGGATCCCCTACTACGAGACGAGTGTGGTGGCCCAGTTTGGCATCAAGGATGTCTTTGACAACGCCATCCGTGCCGCGCTCATCTCCCGCCGGCACCTGCAGTTCTGGAAGTCCCACCTCCGCAATGTGCAGCGGCCCCTGCTGCAAGCCCCCTTCCTGCCCCCCAAGCCTCCTCCACCCATCATCATCGTCCCAGACCCTCCTTCCAACAACGAGGAGCACCCAGCCCACCTCCTGGAGGACCCTCTGTGCGCAGACGTCATCCTGGTGCTGCAAGAGAAGATCAAAATCTACGCACACAAGATCTACCTCTCCACCTCCTCCTCCAAGTTTTACGACCTGTTCCTCATGGACCTGAGCGAGGAGGACCAGCAGAGCGTGGCAGGGCACGGCTTCGGGACCACCGTCACCGCGGCCGCCGAGCGGATGCTGCACCAGGAGGAGAGGCACCACGCGCGGGATTTCCTCCTCCGAGCTGCTAGTTTTGACATCTGCGAGAGTGCCGAGGAGGCCAGCTCTGGCCAGCGACAACCGTGCCTTAGAGCCTCCACCAGTGACGGGATCCTGCGGGGCAACAAGTATGAGAACGGGGAGCGAGGGCTACGCCGGGGAAGGGATCTCTCCTCTTGGAGTCGGGCCTTCATGAGCATCCAGGAGGAGATGGCGGAAGATCCCCTGACCTATAAGTCCAAGCTCATGGTGGTGGTGAAGATGGATGCCTCCATCCAGCCGGGTCCCTTCCGGGCCGTGCTCAAGTACCTGTACACGGGGGAGTTGGACGAGAAGGAGCGGGACCTCATGCACATCGCTCACATCGCTGAGCTGCTGGAGGTCTTCGACCTCCGCATGATGGTGGCCAACATCCTCAACAACGAGGCGTTCATGAACCAGGAGATCACCAAAGCCTTCCATGTGCGGAGGACCAACCGGGTGAAGGAATGCCTGGCCAAGGGGACTTTCTCTGGTACGCCGCAGCTTCACGGCCCCGTGCCCTGCAGCAGGAAGGGGGCTGTTCCCCATGGAGATGGCCCGTTTGATGGCGGTGCTGCCTCCTGGGACCTCACCCCAGAGGCCTCAGAGCTCCCGGCCACATCCGTTAGTGGGATTTTTACAGCTTCTTTCTATTTTTACCCAAAAGCGCAGCTGCGTTGTCCCATTCCCTAGGGCTTCATGCTCTGCAGCCCGTTTGACAGCTCTGTTCATGCGAGGGCGGAGAAGGCGGCCTCCTTTCCCCCTGGGTCCACGCACTTGCGGGTGGGCTGGCTCTGGAGCGCGTGGCGGGAGCCCCCCGCTGCGCTCCGGCCTCCTCGGAGCCCCGTGGGCAACGTCCCAGCGGGACATCCGTGTCTCAGCGTCACTCTGGCTGCATCCCCGTCGCGAGGAAGGGCCTGGATGTGGTCCAGGAGAAACCCTATGGGGCAGAGCCTGAGCCCGGGCAGGGCCTGTCTGCCGCCCTCCTTGTGCGGAGCTGCCATAGGATGGCCTAATGTCCCCTGTGCGTCATGGTGGTTGCTCCTCAGGGCAGGCCCAAAAGCCGGTGTCCACGGGGCCCCGTTCTTGGGGAGGGAGCCAAGCTGATGGTGGGGACCTGGATGTGGTCCAGGAGAAACCCTATGGGGCAGAGCCTGAGCCCGGGCAGGGCCTGTCTGCCGCCCTCCTTGTGCGGAGCTGCCATAGGATGGCCTAATGTCCCCTGTGCGTCATGGTGGTTGCTCCTCAGGGCAGGCCCAAAAGCCGGTGTCCACGGGGCCCCGTTCTTGGGGAGGGAGCCAAGCTGATGGTGGGGACAGAGGAG